TTTTTTTCAACAAAGGTCTTGTTCATATCATAAACTTTCTACATCGTAAACATCTGTTTGCATCAGCTGTGGGGTGGGTTGTTGAGGCGTCAAATAAGTTGACTGTTGCGGTTGTGAAGGCGGAACTATGTATCCACCCATCATCATGTTTATAGCGGAAGAACCTGCAAAAATGATTAAAGAAAGATTCGAAAACAGAATCAACAGAATAATGTATAATTACGGAATCGATACACCAAAGAAATTGAGCAGAGAGTGAACGCGCACTGTGAGGTGGCTTTTCAAGTCCCTTGAGTGCTTCTTGGCTTACTTATATGCACGAGGTGTTAAACGAAAGGAAAGAATCTATCGAATTGCTTATTGCACGATTTGCACAACTTACTTTGTGGCATCATATGCATGCTATTGTGATGCACATAGCCTTGACCCTGGTGCGAGTGATCCATTCCTAAGGGATTCGAGATCTGCAAAGTTTATTTAAATTACGTAGAGATAAACTGAGAGGTAGGTGCGAACCTGAAGCTCCTTCGGTGCCACGAAACGCAGAACTCCTCCAGCACTTTGCATTTGAAAGATTCACAATCAGTATCTATGTGTCATCCAAAAGCTCAGCGCTCTAAATAAAATTATGAGATGAAAACGAAACAAACAACTAAGCAAAACGCAATTACAATATCGTGGTCCGTGACCAGTACATCAGACGTAACAGTGAAGTCAAAGATCTTTAATGGCAGTAAACACATATGCTAATAACAAGCGAAACTGAGATACGTACAACGAGAGAACGAGATTACAGGGAAAAACAAAAACGGACAACCGGGTTACAATATCGTCCATTTAGCGACGATCCGAATCAAATGATACAAGATTCGTGTATGTTTCATAATTTAAAAAAAAATACTTTGACAAACAGTGTGGAGATCAAATGACTGGGTAGAAAGCTACCCTGAAAGACGAAAACAAACTCAAACTCGCAATATTTCAAGTGATTTGTTGAAACAGATACATATCCAGTTGTTGTGAGCAGGTCCCCAATGCACTTG